CTAAAACGGATTTTTCCTATGAAATTTCTCAAAATTTACATCAAAATTATTTTAAAAACTAAAATTTAAATTTCTGTCAATAAAATTTTAAATTTATTAAAAAAATTACGTTTAAAATAAATGTTTTTTTTTTTTTAAGTTTTTACAAACACCCTATGAGCTACTTCTGCTGCCTTTTAAATTTCCTGATGATAATGTGGATTTGTCCTTTTTATTTATTTACATATTTTTGTAATCTTGGTGGAATAAAGATGTCTTGGATGAATTGAAGATGGGGATCATAGCTGTCCCATTTACTAAGGAGTGTTTGGCAGAACCTTTACTTGGAATGGTTTATAAGCGATTTTTAATCTCTTAAATTTGAAAATGTTTTGGAAGAAAAGATAGATTTTTAGGAGAAAAAAAATGCATACAAGCAAGTTTTAAAGAAAACAATAGTCTAGAACTTTCTTGGAAACTTATATATATTTTGCTAAAAATCTACTTTTTCATCTAAAACCTAATTTTCAAACCTGAGAAATTAAAAGTTGCTTCTAAGTCCCATAAAAAAAGTTTTGCTTATAAGAAATTTCTAAAAAAAAAGTCTATCAAGCACCCCTAAATGTGTTATGGGGTATGGTTCCATTGTCTTTGGATACTTCAAAATCATGGTTACGATCTACACACCTTAAGTTTTTCAGCAGCTTGGTGCTTAAGTCTAGAGAATTGGCAAATTGATTTCCTTGGACAAGGCAAAGAATGAGAGAGTTGTAGCTATTCATGCAACCCTCCAAATAAATACTCCCTCGTTCAACTCAAACATAGTTTTGTCTAATAAAATAGAGATGCACTAATTAATTGATAAAATTTTATATTTAATTTTAATTAATTGTACTACTTAAATAAATTTTTTTTAAATATATTGTAATTATTTTTTAAAAATAAAGATTAAATAAAAATAATCACATTAATTATTATCTTAAAAATATAAAATAGATAACTGAATTTAAATACCTTATAGTAAAAATGAGGTTTATTAAAATTTAAAGAAAGAATAAAAAAACGAAAAAAGAAAAAAAAGCTATTATAGCAACCTTCACCTCAAATTAAATACTAGTTATTTCACTTCCACCGAATCAATTATTTTCAAGAAAACGATTATAATTATGATTAGAAAAAAATGTTTTAAATTTTGTATCATATTGAACTGTAAAATATTAATTATTAAATGATAAAGGATTTTAATGATGAGCACATATTTTTTTTATTTAATAATTAGTGTTTTACAATTTAATACAATTCAGATTATAAAATATCAAATTAACTCTTATAATTAAGCATGGAATAATTATTTATTATTTGTCAAACAACTGGCCACAAAGTGATGCATGCGTGCAACAGTGTAATATTTTTCGAATGTTTATAATGGTTTCAACTTTGTCTTCCCTTTATTGTATGTGGCAGTGAATATATGGACTCATGTTGTGATGTTGATGAGACTAATGTCATATATAGGGATAGTATTATTTCCACAGACATTGAAGGAAATAGTAAGGAAAACTCATTTAGTCCAAGTTAAGGTGCAGGGTCAAAGAATTTAGAATTATTGATTCGCGTACCTTGTGAGGCATTTAGGATGTTGAATCTTAAATCCAACACCTCCAAGTTTTCAAAAACTGACAACCCTGCATGTAAACATGTTTTCCTTATTGGTAAAAGAGAAAAAAATCAAGGTTAAATGCTAAATTTAGTCCCTCAACTTTAAGAAATACACATTTTTTATCCTTTAATAATTTTTTGCATTTTTTTTATCCCTCAACTCTAAAAATTGCACAGTTTTGATCCTTCCATCAGTTAAGTATGATGTGGCAGTTAAATAATTTTATGTGGCATTATCTTTTAATTTTTTTTATGATGTGGCAATAATATATATTTTAATTATGTTATATAAATAAATAAAAATAACACGTAGATTAATATTTATAGTTTAAATAAAAACAAATAAAATTACCTAACTACGCTCACCCACCCAATCCCTCTTCTTCCCCTTCTTTCTTTCTCTATCTTTCTTTCCTCCCTTGGGTCTCCGCTAGGCTGGATTCCGATGGCTGCGACGAACCCAACCTGCTGGGTCTCGTCGGAACCCAACTTACTGGGTCTCGTCGAACCCAACTTGGCTGGGTCTCCCTTGCTGGGTTCCGACAAGACCCAGCAGGTTAGGTTTCCCCGAACCTAGCCTAGGTTCCGACGAACCCTGCTGGGTCTCGTCGAACCCAGCTTTACTGTTTCGATGTTGGATTCATGTTTTTTCATTCTTCTTTCGATTTTCATTTCCAGTTGTTAATAAATTTGAGAGTTGATTTACAATTTGATTGTATTTTTGTTGGAATTTGATTAGAGTTTGATTGATATT